AAACTTCACTTCCGTGGCTTGTTCTTCATTCTCCAATGTTGCTTCAAGTTCATTCATCTATACAATATTCACTTTTCTACAATGAAGAAGGTACATAAAGTTAGACATCTATATCATGAAATTAAGTCATCAAAAAGTCATGAAAAAAATTCTGCACTACACAAAAATTCTGCACTATGTAGTGATTTCAAGACTTGTTTTTTCAACACTTTCCAACATTGACTCATGCCCAAAAATTCAGAATTTGGTTCATGAGTTTACACCATTAAAAAGTTCTTATTTTCAACACAAAATCACTTCTCAAAAGCACTTAAAGTCATGAGATAATTCACCAAAATTTCAAGGCAAAGGTAGTAGAAAAATCAAAGGGAAAAGCATTCAAAATTCCAAGTTTCATCCATAATTACTAATGACCTTTTGCCTTACATTTCAATTTCGTACTTTTGAAAAAATTAAACACCATTTATCTCTAACTACCTATGCATCCACATTCATTCAATTACTCAATTAAATCTTAACTATCATAACTACCAAACTAATACAAAACTACCAAACTAACACAATTTTCAACTTTCATTTTCAATCAAATTTTTATTCAATCCTAACCATTCTTAACAATCAATTCAAGAGTTAAAGTTAGTGACCAACAACTAAAGCTTAAATAATTTACCAGGATTGATAAATCTCTTACTTAGATCACAATCCAAGGATGCTCATTCATTTACAAAGCCTATATAAACATATCATTTCTCACAATTTTATACTTAACTAACATAATTTATATTAACCCCTTGAACCATCTTTTTTCCACTATTTTTTCTCAATTTCTTTCTCTTTTCTTCAGCCCCTCACCATCATCAAAGTTAATATTCATCACCATTTAAAACTTCACATTGAAGTTTTAGATTTGGTGGAACTTAGCCACAATCCAACATCAACAAATCATCAATCGAGTTTCAACAACTCACATAAACAATCATCATTCAAAGTTTGTCAATTCAAGCATATTCATCAATATTCTACATTCAAGATTCATCTTCTACCTTCATCATTAATATTCAACTATAATTATAAAGCAAATATTAATTAGGTTAAAGGAGCTTACTTTGAAGTTTTCCGGGTTTCTCTTTGATAAATTCATCTGCAATTCTCAACACTAACCAAGGAAAACCTCCGTGCCGGAATTAACCAAAAACTTTGAGAATTCTGAATCAATCTTGACCAATAAGATTCAACCAACCGATCGAAATCCCTTGTTCTTCACTCTTCACTCAAGTGAAACAATCACACCTTAATTGCAAAAATGATCATGCGCAACAATTGTTAATGGAAGAAGAAAGAAAGAAAATTGAATAAGAAAGAAGATTAGGGTTTAACAAAATAAGGGAAGAGGAGAATGATTTATGCAGAGCAACTTTATGCTATTAAATTGAGAAAAAATATTATTCAACTGTGAAACTGCACTTTCTGTTGTGTGTTACAATATTATTCTCTATTCTTCTTACTCAAAATAAGGGTTACTCCCTCTATTTATAATTAAGCTACCTTGCTCCCTAAGGAAAGCCCAAAATTACAAAAGTCCAAAATTTCTATTTTGGTCTAAGTTGAAATCATGTGTCATCCAAACTGCTTCGACACTTTGACATCTAACACAACTCAACAAACATACATTAGGCTAATTTCGACACATCCTTGTTTCCTTCGAGCTACACTTGCTTCGACACAAGGAATTACAATCTCAACACACAACCTAATTCATTGTGTCTAAGCTATATATATTCATCAATGCCATTATTGGCTCTTTTCTTGAACTCCAAGCAACTGGTGCACCACCTAGCATAAACACATAGCCAGCTATTGGCTCTTTGGACCAAATACAATACTGTAATTTGGATACCCATACGCTTTTGAGGTTAATCACCTTCTTCTGGTTAGTCACCTCTTTCGTGGGTTAATCACTTTCTCATGGTTAAACACCCATCTCTGAACCATACACATCTCTTTGGGTTAATCACCACCCTTTGGTTTAAACATCGATTTAATAACTTCTTTGGTTTAAACACCACTTTTTAGTTTAAACACCACTCCTTTGGTTTAAACACCACTCTCTTGGTTTTAACACTACTTCTTTTGTTTAAACACCGCTTATTTGGTTTAAACACCACTTTTATTTCCTATTTGATTATGACACCACTTGTATTTTCCTATCCTTGGTCCAAAAAACACCTTCACCATTTCACAAATATTTTCCAATTCATTCACAAACTTTTTTCAATTCAATTCAATCATAAATCTTTTTCAAAACAACTTTCTTTTCATAAAAATAATTGTTATAATTCATTCCTTAACAGTCAGACTAAAAGCTTAGAGCATCCGAATGAGGATTAGAATTCACTAACGTCAAAGAACTTCTAGAATACGATTATAACAATGTTTCCTAAAATCAACAAACAAATACTTATTTTTTACCCACGAACTACAGCTCATTGCTTAATGAGAATACGTAGCCACGGGGCTTTGAATCCTTGGCGAGCACATTAATTAAAAACTTATTTTTTCCCTAAATTAAAATCAATCGCAAGTAACCTTTAGATAATAACACTCATATGCGCAAAAAACAATCAACGATTCCCGTTGAGTACAACGGATATGAGGGATGCTAATAAATTCCCCTCGCATAACTGACTCCCTTATCTCTTTCTCTTCCTTAAGGGTTTTATCGATGTTTTCCCTTTCCTTTTGGAATAAATAATTTTCGGTGGCGTCTCTGTTGTATCTTCGAGCGTGTGATGTGCTCGGATATTTTTTGCATTGCAACATGGCGAAACTTGCGATCGTTCGCACTGTTTTCACCACCTCTCTCTCTTCAACTCATTGCCCATTCATCAATTAGATGTTCATAATGCCTTTCTACATGGTAATATTCATTATACTATCTAAATACATCAGCCATTAGGTTTACGTGATCCCCATCACCCAAATTATGTGCGCTGCTTACAGAAATTTCTTTATGGTTTGAAGCAATCATCTCGTACTGGCACCAACATTTCGCTAATTATGTCTCCACCATTGGAATTTAGCACAACACCTCATATCACTCTCTCTTCATCTACCGATGGGCTCTAACATGGCTTACATCTTACTTTATATTAATGACATCATCCTCATAAGTTCCTCTCACGACATATGCAAATCTATCATGGCGCTTATTGCCTCCGAGTATGATATGAAAGATCTAGGACCGCTGAGCTATTTTATGAGTATTATAGTTACCTGACATGGAGATGGACTTTTTCTTAGTCAGAGTACCTACGCTAGTGACATTATTGCTCGAGTCAGCATGGTCTCATGTAAACATTTCGCTACTCTAGTTGACACCAAGAAAAAGCTCAGTACCTCCGTCACACCCCATATGACGATCCTACATTATATCAGAGTCTTGTTGGTGCTTTGCAGTATCTCACATTTACTCGTCCTGACATCTCTTATGATGTCCAGCAGGTGTGTCTTCACATGCATGCTCCCTGCAACGAGCAAATGCTTGCATTGAAACACATCTTGCATTATGTTCAGTCCACCTTACAATATGGTTTGCATCTCTATCCTTCTCCCGTCGAGAAGCTTGTTTCCTACATAGATGTTGATTGCGGTGGATGTCCCGACACCCATCAATCTACTTATACTTATTGTGTTTTTCTTGGTGAAGACCTAATTTTATGGTCTTCCAAAAGACAACTCACACTTTCTCGTTTCAGTGCAGAAGCTGAGTACCAGGGCATTACTAATGTGGTTTTAGAATCATATTGCCTTCACAACCTTCTCTTGGAGCTTCATTTCCCCTTTCCCAGGCTATTATAATGTATTGTGACGATATTAGTACTATCTATCTATCTGACAATCTTGTCCAACATCAACGTACTAAACACATTGAGATGGACATTCACTTTGTTCGGGAGAAGACTGCTCGTGGCCATACCTGCTTTGTTCATGTTCCTTCCCGACACTAAATTGCTGATATCTTCACCTAAAGCTTCCCTAAAGTTCTCTTTGATGATTTGCAGACCAGCCTAAGTGTCTGTCGAACTCTCACTTCGATTGCAGGGGTGTGATATAATTTATATTTATTTTGTATTAATTTGTAATTCTAAATCATATCAACTGTCATATATATATATATATATATATATATATATATATATATATATATATATATATATATATATATATATATATATATATATATATATATATATATATATATATATATATATATATATATATATATATATATATATATATATATATATATATATATATATATATATATATATATATATATATATATATATATATATATATATATATATATATATATATATATATATATATATATATATATATATATATATATATATATATATATATATATATATATATATATATATATATATATATATATATATATATATATATATATATATATATACACTTCAGCTGTAATAAAAACACACACAAAAAATTAATTATTTTATAAAAAAAATTTAAATACAATTTCTTAAATGTAATTTTTACTATTTTTCAATAAAAATATGATAAATAGTAAAAATTGCATCAGAATTAAATCTAAGTTTTCTCCTTATCTTATACCATCCTTATTAAATTTATTTATTGAATAATACTTTTGAAGATTAAAAATAACTATGGAAAGAAAGGATAAAACACGTGAAGAAAATAGCAATCAATGGTCTTTTTAAGTGTAGTTATTTGATATTTTAATCATACCAAAACAAGTAATAATTCTTGTTAATTTTTAAACAAAGATTATTTTTTTGTCCACAATATCCTTAACTTTTTAATAATTTTATAGATTTTTTTCTCTATATAATAAATAATTAAAGATAATTTTGACAATATTATAATCACTGTTTTTTAAAATGATATTTAAAAAGGACCCAATTTTTTTTCTAAAAAATGACATTACAAAATAACGGAGGAAGCTTATGGTAAGAAGAGTAAAAACGGAACTACAAAAAATTCATCCTTTTCTTGTAACCTCAAACTCAAGCGTTGTTTGTATCAATTCAATGGCGGAAACGAAACCCAAACCAAAAGGTTCGCTTTCAGGTATCATCTCTTCGTGTTTTCTGTTTTCTAGATAATTTTCCCATTATTCTTGATTCTGATTTTGTTGCCTTGCTTTCAATTGATTCATTAAATATTATTGTTGAAATTTATCATACATCAATAATAATAAATAATACCCTTTTGAGTATGCTCTAGGCTATGATGATGAAGAAAGAAAGGAAGAAATATTTGATAGAGAAAATCTTGAGGGAAGAGAAGAGGGTAATTTCAGATATTTTAATCACCCATATAACTTGTTTTTGGATTATAATGAGTTTTTCTGTTCTCCATTGCTAAAAGTTCTTTTCTTACCCGTAGTTAGTTGGTCTAGTGGTGATTGGCGTTAGACTTAGTAGGGAGAACATTGGGGACTGAAATGTTATGCTATAGCACGGTGTGGAGGTTGTTTGATTTCTTATGTAATTTATCTTAAGTTGCTTATTTGATACCATGCATGTTTGGATTGATGATGAGTTAGACAAAACTATGGCGGTTCGTAGAAAGAGTGACAAAAATGAACACATACAAAGGGGAGATCCTAGGTTTTGAACCCGAGTAATTATAGAAAATGTTCAGCCTAACAAATTCGACATTGTCAGTTCAGTTACACCTTAGGGGCGGCAGGCACATTGAGATTTTGTTAAATTCACGTCATTCCAAAAATGCACTTAGTGGTATTGCAATATGTGCATAGGTGAATGTTTATAAGGATATATATACTTTGAATTGGGAGGTCTTTGATTCAAATGCTATAGAAATCCTGTAAAAAACATGTGAATCAAGGCAAAACCCCCCACAATATCATCTCTAAAGAGAGAACATGTTGATCTTCGTATTAGAAAAAACATGATAAGTAATTAATGGTTTTAGGCATGGTTTTAAATTGCGGTCGCGGTTGCGGGTGTTGCGATTGTGGGCATTGCGGTTGCTGCGATGCACATTACGGCCGTTGCAGCGTGAATTTTAATTGGGAGATGTTTGAAATATACTGTTAAAAAACATTTGATGTTAAATTTTTTCAATACATAGGAAGTAAATTGAGTTTTTGGGTTCCGAAATTGAGTTTTGATGAAAATACTTCAAGAAACATAGGTAAAATTGTCTGATGTGATTTTTAATGAGGGTCAGATGCATGATTTTGATTTACACCGCAATTGTGGTCTAATGCGGTTGCGGAGGCTACTGAATCAGCAATATTGCAGACGCAATTGTGGTTGCAGACTGCAATTTAAAACCATGATTTTAGGTATATATGGGAAATAATTATTGTACTAGTAAGTGTTATCAAATATCCGCAATTGCAACGCTTATGGCCGATATTGCAGGTTTTTCCACCATAATCTGCTATATCGGTGCCTCAAAGCGTTCGGTATGGCGGAATTTTGTCTCTCCGCCATTCTAAATATATATGTTATGCCAATTGATTCTATGTAAATAATTTGTTTTAAACACCTAAACTTTTTGTATATTCTCTGTTTCATTTGAAAGAAAATGGTGTGAAAGCTCCAAACATTCTTGAGCGAGCTAAGGAAGAATTTGAAGCAGTTTTCAAATCTCCTCGCCACCATAAAGAAACACATGGGAGAAACGATGATATTGATGAACGAACTTCTGTTGAAGAAGTGAAAGCTCCGAGTGTGTTTGGAAGGATGAAGGAGGAGATTGAAGCTGTAGTTGAAGCCATTCATCCCAAGAAAGAATCTGACACTAATAACTCTCCATCAAAGTGATCATAGCTATTAGCTAGAAAGGATGTACCTTTAAATTTTGTAACAGAGAGTATCTATCAACCTTGTACTATCAATGATGTTAACCATCAAAACTACCATGTTTACTTTGTTTTTTTTTCTTGTTCTGGAAATGTTTCTCTTAGATATGAAAAGTGAAGTATTCTTGTTTTCTATAGATTTGTAACTGTTTCATTATCAATACCCTAAGTTGAGTTTATTTGTCTTAAAGACAATACCCTAATGCATCATTTGAAATTTTATTTCCAAGTTAACGTCACCACAAAGACCAAACATTCATGCACAAAATCCAACTTATAACGCATACACCATTTTTCTCCTTCAATGTCATTCTTATCATAACTTCTTTTCAGCAGCCCTAAACTCTAAACCATTACTAGGCAACTTTTTGAATCACCTTTTTAGCAACAAAAAAAAATTATCATAGCTTAGTAGGTAGGTAACATCAGCAGCTTACTCCTTGACTACATAGCACATCAACTCATCAACAACATATCAATATGAATGAAAGATCCTTTTACTCAAATCATAAAGCTGCACACTATAAGTAAATAATTCTGAGACAATGGTGTACCCCCACGTTAAGAAAGAGTGTATTTATAGGTTGATATTTTGTTTTACTTGTACCTTTTTCTCCCTGGTTTGCCTTTATAACATGACTGATTGATGACTTGTTTTGTGTCATTTTGACTAACCTTTATACAACATCACCAAGTTTATCTATTGTCTATCTTTATGAAATGTTTGGTGTCACATAAAAATGACCTGGCTGCAGTCTATTGCAGAACGAAGTTTCTTACTTTATAGTAATGCCTAATTAACTTATACAATGAGAGAATAAAGTTTAGTAGCTTTTATGACACAACTAAAAATATGTTATTGACATATACACCAAATTCGATCTTCTATATAGTTGATTGTATGATGGTATTGAAATAAAAAACTCAAGTTTTAGGTAGATTAAAAAATATAGTGTTGTCTCTTAATTTATAAATTGGTTCTTGATGCCCAATGCCACAATAGGTACTCTCGACTCTCCATCATGATGTCAATTACTAAGATCCTTTTGGTTCGGTCGCTCTAATTGAATGACCTTAACTCCTGTTCTAAGAGAGATTCTGATCATTTAAAATTCCAATAGATGCAAGTAAAACCAAATCAATGATTGTTTCTATTATGAGTCGGCCATAGACCCAAACGAAGAGGCTCAATTATCAGTCCAAAATCACTCCACCAAAACATTGAAGGTGTAGTGTAACTTTACTTCAAAATCACTCCACCAAGACATTGAAGGTGCAGTGTAACCTTGTTCTGGAACTCCACACTAGATCCGCGAATCGCGATATGGACTGTTGCCCATCGTTAGATGTCATCGGACGACCTCCTGCATTCCACGCCTAAATGTAAGGGACGTTCATAACCGTCCTTCATATATAAGACACACGTGTGAAATCTAAGATATTATCTGAACAATAGTTCATAATACTCATCATTCTAGAGCGTTAATTTTATAGGTCTACCCCCGCATCGCTGCACCGGAAATCTGCTCCACTGCATTAAGACTCTACTCCATCATTTTATCATGCATTTCTGATTTCTTAGCGTAACAATTTCGATCGGAACTTGAACTCGGAATCTTCCGAATAATTGATCTTTAAGTGAAGTTGATTAACTACCTGACTATATCTAAATGCGCAAACTCTTCATAATGTTCTTTTGATAAATAAAGAGATCTCTTTTTCTATTACTCTTTTTATTACAATTTCTACTATTACTCCTATAGTCAAACTGAATCCCTTATGCATAACAACCTCAAATTGCGCATGCCTATTACTTCCACTTTCATCATTTGTGCCATAAGAACCATAATAAATGATGCAACCACAACATGGTCCTGTCATTAAATGTGGTAAAATATCCAACAAGTGAGAATACACACCCAAATTTAATACCAACTCGTAAAGGAATAGTCCATATTGGAAGTTAGTGATGAAACTTGCATACTATTCTTCAACAACCAACCTTAAGAAAGTTAAGAATAGTACCTTATTTAATTCATTAACAAACTCATTAAATATATTTTTTCTTCAGAACTGATGCTTTTTTCTCTGTCCTTGAAGTTCTTTCTTCCTTATATGGTAATGAAGTATCAGAAAAAAGGAAAGGTAGTATAAGTGTATACACTATAGTATACTATCATGTATCAAATATTTTATCTTTTTTAAAGAAAAAGAAAAAAAATCTGATATATCAGATATAATTATAGAGGTGTTGCAGGTTTTTCTGACAAAATCAGACTCAAAAAAGGTGCTGTTATTCTGATTTTATGGACCACCATATATAGTACTTCCACTTTAAATTGATTTGAAAAAGAAAGCTAATTTTGGCTTGTATAGAAAGGTAACTTATCCACAATTACGATTCAAATCGTACGCAATCCGCCACGTCTAAACCGTTAAATATTGATCGAACAGCAGAGATGTCTTTGAAGGCGTTCAAGACAGGCTAGCGCACAAAGTCTAAAGTTTAACATGATTAAATCGTAGATAAATATGTCATTGTTAAATCGTGACAAACCTACACAGGATATCAGAAAATTTAAGACGGTTTTGCCGGACGGTTCAAATGTGGCTGAGTCATGCTAAGAAACCAAATTCCAAGGTTAGGTGTATAAATAATGACAGTGAAAAAAGACTAGACTTTTTGTAGTACCTAGTGAGTTGTCAAATGAGTGTGAAAAAATTTGCTGAGGTTTATAACTGTTGAACAAGAAACCAAAAAATCATTTGCTTGTGAACCAAAATCTCTCGGCCAAAGCAAAGGTTTTAAACAGTAGCCTTGGAATGTTTGGGGGTCCTGGCCTGTTTTTTGGGATTTGCATCTTCAAAACTCATTTGGTACCCTTTCTCTAGCTTCTTCATATATATTACATAACCTCTCTCACATCATCATCACATTCATCATTTTCTTCATTCTCTTGAAGAAAAATGAAGGGAAGATTCTTCTGTCTTATACTAACTCTTCATATAGTGAGTTTGTTAGCAAAGAGGCCATTTCTCTCATCTCATGGCATTTCACATTCTGCTCAAGAAAAGGTTCCACAATCTTCACCATCTTATACCATTGAATCAAAAAAGGTATGTTTGTGTTTTATTATGTTGTTTGATTATGATTATGTTTATGTTTGTGTTTTCAGTTAAAGGGTATAATGGGAAAAGAAGGAATGATGAAGAAAAGAGAAGAAGAAAATGATAGAGAAGTGAGTAAAATAGGGTCAAGTCCACCAAGTTGTGAACACAAATGCTATGATTGTTATCCATGTGAAGCTATTCAAGTGCCAAGCACAAGTAATCATTTTGGGATTATGTATGCAAATTATGAGCCTGAGAGTTGGAAATGCAAGTGTGGTCCTTCTCTCTATAGTCCATGATCATCAACTAATATTAATGTTGTTCTTATATTTCATTCTCTAGTTTTATCATGTAGTAGTTTGTAAAATCCTCATATTCAAAAGAATTTTGGTTATTCATGATTATTATTATTATTACAATCAATGTTGTTAAGCATGTAAATGTCTTCTTATAGGTTAATATTTCTAAAATATTCATTATCACCATTCATAATATAAAGATAATTAATATTTCTAACATACAATAATGTTAAATCTTATGAGATAAACTTTTCATTGATTATGATTCTCCCTACTTGAATGACTAATGTTACAGTTGTGTGTGCCGAGGATAATGACTTCATACAAAACTAAAAATATAAAGAGAAATTTTGTTTGACTCTTTTTATTGCAAATGTGTCTATAGTAAAAGAGTTTTTTTTTTTTTTTTTCAAATTTAAAATTTAAAATATCTAATATAGATATTAAAACTAAAATTTAAATTAGTTTAGAGATGGTTTAGCTGCAAGCTCGTTTGTTTTTTATTTTAAAAATTAAATTTAAAAACAAAACATATTCAAGTAGAATATGGCTAAATTTATTTTTAACTTAATTTAAACTAATTTTCACTTAAATTTTAAAACCTTTAAAATAAATTTTATATTTTTTGTTTTAACGATAATATGTCACCCCTCAAACCGTCACCAACCACCTCTACCTGATCATCTCAAACCCCCATTTTAATTATCATCTATAAGTACATTGATTACCTTCGATCACCGCTTTAACCACCTATGATCATCTTTTACCACCACCATTTTAACTATTGTTAATTATTACTTTGAGTTTCATCACACTTGAGCATAGAATGATGAAAATTCATAAGAGGAAGCTATTGAAAGATGTTTGATGTAATATAGATTTATGCAAGTATTATTTACTTGAAAAATAATGTGATGTCTGATTTAAGACAGGAAAATACAAAATAGAAGGAATTTACATGTGTATTCTGATGTGTGGGCTTAGTAAAAAGACCTTTATGGGTGGTTTCAAGTATTTTGTGACCTTCATTTATGATTTTAAATATATTTCTTGAAGTGGAAATATGAATTTTTTCCAAGTTTAAGTTGTGGTAGGCTTAGGTTGAGAATCAAATGGACAAAAAAAAAATCAAATATTTGCAGTTAGATAATGAGACAGAGTACACTAGTTAATTCAAACTTTTAGAAATTTTGTGCAAAACACTATATTTAGAGGTATTTTTAGTTCGGAAGACACCATAACAAAATGGTGCAACAGAAAGAATGAACATGTCTTTAACTAAAAGGAAAAGATGTCTCTAATTAATAGATGGACTCTCGAAGGGTTTATGGGCAAAGGATATTAACAAGGCGTGTTATTTTATCAACAGATCACCATGTGCTTCTTTGGATAAGATGGTCGCAGAAGAAGTATGGACATGTAACCCCATTGATCTTGACAATTTAAGGATTTTGAGTGTCTAACATAAGTGCATATATCTAATGAAGATCAGTCAAAACTTAATCCAAAGTCGCAAAAGTATGTCTTTATCGGTTACACAAAAGGAGTGAGTGGGTTCAAGTCTTGGGATCTAGTTTCAAAGAAGATTGTTATCAACAAAAATATTGTTAATGATAAGTAATTCATGTTGAAGCAATCATTTGCACCATATGCGTCAACATCTAAAGGGGAAACTTTCAACAATAAGGTGATTCAGATGGATATTTATTCACTACTAGTGAGCAATGTGTGGGTAGTCCATGAACCATAAGTTAAACCAAAATCTGATGCTGAAATTCATTGTGGGTTTGGAAATTTAGTTGAAGCACATGATTATTGTCTTGTTTTTTTTTACATGAAGCAGGGTTAGATCAAGCCACCAAAAAGATATGAGTGTGAAAACTTAACAACTTATTACTAGCTCTAGAGATCCTCCCACCTTTCAATAAGCTATATCTAGCTAGTAGAATGATAAATGCATGGTGTTATGGTGGAAGATATGGAGTGCTTGATGTAAATGGGTGTGCAAGAGAAGACAAGCAATAATAAAAAGAGAAAGAGAAAAGTTCAAGTCTCGTCTTGTAACAAATGGATACTCAAAATAGAAAATGATTGATTAATGAAAAATGCTATTCTTACACCCTTTTCTACACCCAATACTTACGCCGTATGCACTGTTCACCGTATTTATACGGTGAACAGTGTTTTTTTATTAAAATAATATATTTTTTTAAAATATTAATTTTTTTAAAAAAATATTTATTTTTAAAATTTATTTTATAACACAAATATAAGATTGCGCATTAACCAACTTCACAGTTGCATTAACCACAAAAATCTACATCATTAGCCAATTATTTTACCTATAATTTATTAACCACTTTCACTACTTCATTAACCAATAAAATACAAACTATTAACCATGTTCTAAGGAATTTGTTCAAATATTTGTGAACAGTAAATTGGGTGTAGGTTGTAGAAAAGGGTGTCAACATAGTAATCCTGTTGATTAATTATGACGAAATATTTTCTCTAGTTGTGAAACATACTTTTGTCACCTCGGTGTTAGTTTTCGTAGTTAGTCGAGACATGCATTTATGGCATATGAATGCTAAAATAACATTTCTTTATAGTAATCTACATAATCAAATTTACATGGAACATCCATATGGTTTTAGTGATACTAAGCATGGAAGGCTAGTTTGTAAGTTAAAAAAGGTATTTGTATGGTTTAAAGTAATCTCCAAGGCAATGGCACAAACACTTTGATTCAACACATGCTTCAGATTAGCTACATTAGTTTTGAGTATGACTGTTGTGTTTATGTTGAGAGCCTTGATGATGGTTTTTGTTATTTCCCTATTACCATACATGGAGGATATGTTGATAGTTGATAATCATTTATATCATATAAATAATTTGATCTTGTTGAAAAAAGAGTTTGACATGAAGAACTTATGTGCAACTAAGATTCTTGGGATGAAAATTCACATGAATAAGAGTGCTAAAAAGCTATGGCTCTCTCATAAAATTTATGTTGAAAAGGTTTTAGACATATTTGGCACGAGTAATTTGAAGGCTATGAGTACTCCATTGGCAAGTCACTTCAAACTCTTATTGGATCAATGTCCAAAGACATATGCAAAAGTTGTGTATATGTCTGTGTTACACCGGTTCGGGTACGTACCCAATGTAATGCCCCCATTTATTTTAATTTATTTCTGTAATTAAAACTGTGTGTATTTATGTGTTGATTGGTGTTTTGGTTTGTTAGAGAAACTTTTTGGTGTAGGGTAGTAGCCTTAAAGAATATAATTTAAGGTGTTGGGTGTGTGCAAGCAAAAGCGTAGAAACACGGGGGTGGTGGGAGAATGTCATTTACTATTTTTATTTAAATTAGAATTTATTTGAATAAAATAATAAGGATGATAATAATTAAATAATTATTTAGTTATTATAGTAAGGTGACACTATAGATTAAATATTTATTTTATTTTATTGAAATAAGATGTAATTGGAATTAAGGAGAATAATAAAATAAATGAAAAAGAGAGATGAGAGTGGAAAACTGTTAGATACGTGTTTTGGAGAAAAGGGAGTAAGAGAAAAAGGAAAGTTAGGGCAAGGGGGATCACCATTGTTAGAGGTAGAAGAGAACTCATTGCTAGGAATACCAATGTATGGTGAGAATTTCATTCATATAGGGTTTGGAAATGATAATATGTGGGTGGGGTTTGTCTTTATATGCTTTAATTATCTCTTCTCTCTAGGTTGTGATCCTTTGACGTAAATTGGTGCATTATGTGTGTATTGGATGATCAATTGATTGATGAATTATGAACTTGCATGATGATGTTGTGTTAGTGATTGTTTTTTGAATTTTGTATTGATGCTAGTAGAATTATGTAATTGGTGGAATTGTGTGGTGATGTATGTTGCATTGTTGAAATTGTTGCGAGTCAGAGTCAGAACTCGAGTATGTGAATATTTTTACAAAAATCTAGGGTTTTAGGACTTTTTAAAAGTGATTTTTCATGTGGAAAATGTGACATTTGACTGGTATGAGAATTGAGGTTTTGGGATGGGTTAAAAATCAATTTTTGTACTGATAAGTTGCAGAAAAATGCTTCTGCTACAGGCGTAACCGGTTACGCTATTGAAAAACTGTGTTTTTTGGGCAAGTTGAGGGAGTGTAACCAATTATTAGAAATGGTGTAAGCGGTTACACTGTGAAATAGTGGCTAAGAAGTGGCGTGGTTACAGGGTGTAACTGATTACTGCATTTGGTGTAACCGGTTACATTGGGAAGAAAATGGGAAAAACTTTGAAAAATCATATTTTGAGTTCTGGGTGTCTGATTCGAGTTCCGTTTGAAGCGTTAGGAAGCTGACACGGCGAACTTTAATTTAAAAATAACCGCAATACTTAGATTTGATTTAAATGTTGCATGATGGGTGTTAAATGATGCGTGGTGTTGATGTTGTGGTGTGGAATATGCGTGAATGCGTTGTTGTTGTTTGATATATTATTTCGTTGGTGTTATCGAACTGTTATAGCTTGTGTTTGATGTGTTGGTGGCCAGTATGACAGAGTACATTGATTAAGGTAAATGTCAATTTACTTGTTGTTGTTGTTGTTACATGTCTATTATGTATCATGCATCATGGTGTTAGACGGTGATCCATTTTGGTGAGCCTCAATCCTATGGTGATGGATTGGGTGCGAGTAGTTAATTCCTATGGCGATGGAATTAGTGAAGCGTTACCTATGGTGATGTTATAGTATATGTCAACAGTTTCTTATACTAGTGTTGTTGAATGTTTAATGTATGTTATAGTTTATACTAGATCCGATTTTGCACAAGGTGTAAGTCAAGTTTGTAAGTACATATTCAAACCATATACATATCACTAGAAAGCATTCAAATGAATTTTCAGGTACTTGAAAGATACAAGGGTCATAATATCATATTTAGCAATGGAAAAGATGGTTCTTCAGTTGTAGTATAAGTATAACACGAT